AAATCGTCATCAGAGTTTATAGATCTTCTACGTATTTGTTTTAACACGTTTACTGTTGGATCGTATACGTAATAAACATCTGTCTCATTTTGTCAATATTGTTGACAATACTAAAAAATGTTTTAAATAAAAGTTTTAGGCTAATTTAGGTTAAATTACTTGCAAATGTCTTGTATCGAAATCCCCTTAATTTGTAGAATAGATTACTAAACTATAAACGTGTTAAAACTGTTGTCTTCGTTATAATTTATCTGCTTGAGCATTTCGAAAAATCGGAGTCACAGAATTACGAAACGGTGATTTCTTTGGATCGCAATAACATCACCAAAGTCTATATAAAGGTGTGACAATTTGGAGAGAACGTTTCGACTCACGTAACGAGGGATTTAATTAACGCGAGAACTTTCTTATTGAGTAAACACGTCTGTTGGACCACTCTTTTCGAAGATACGACCGGCGATATTAAACGCCTGCTTAAAACATTTGTCGCGCGGTGCGCATACGATACGTAACGGCCGCAGTTATTATGAATTACGGCTCGCGTTCTGTGCGACCCGGTACCATATATTTGATTTAATGAGGTAACAAGTGCACCGAGACTTATAGCATGAATCCGAACAGGTGATTAATCTCACCCTGATTTCTACCTGGGGCTTGCCTGGATGCGTCTTACTTTATTTAAAATGACATCTATTTCGGAGTGTAACTATCTTGGATCGTTAACCTTCGCTCGCAGGGTCCACCGTTCCCTCAAAGCCTCGTATCTGATTGGTTGCAATATTCATTACTTATCGAAGCTTTTGCACACTGATTATACAGCCTAAGATTTCGTAACTTACGCAATTACTAATAAAAAGGTTTTGGTAAAGATGCTAGAACTGCTTCGTGCATCATTAACGCGAACAGCTTCCAGGCTATCCCCTTGGTACGTTCGATGGAGCTAATAGTAATTGTTTCACGATATGATCATTTTTAATCGGAATTCTTTAGGAGGTACTCTAATCTAGAGTTTAATTATAGGTTACAAAATAATTTCGGTTTTCCCGTTCTTAGCGAAAGATTTAAGGCGCGAAGTTTCCCTTCAGAATCAATTGAAGTTTTATCAAACATTTTAAAGATGCAGTAGATGATAATGAAAATGGCAACTTGACAAAAATTCTATCACAATTATGAAATATACGTTTCATGACTAAGACAACTTTCATAATAAAGTATTTCTTCGAAACGAAAGAATCACAATTCGATCGAAGACTTCCCAACGCGTCCGTCCAGACCACTAAGCAGCGAGCACCGAACGAATCGGGTTTGGGCCTAGTATACATAACGAGGACCGATCCTCGTTTTATTTGCCCTTCGATCTACTTTTTTTCTGGTCCCCCGGGGGCCGATTCTTCTTTTTGGGGGATTAATCACGCGCGTAGAATCCTCCGGGCTGCCGTACTGAGCGGCCAATCGCGCTCGATTGATTCACGGGCGCGCCGTTGGGCCCAGAACCAGGAAGGATAAGGTAGAAACTGGCGAAAGAAACGTGAACGAGAGAGACGGAATCACGGCGAAAGGAGAGCAGAAGTTCCCCGCTAATGCACGCCCGGGAGAAGACCGATCGAAGGGGTGCTGCGTTGATTAGCGGATATCTTAATTACTGATTGGCCGCGCGGACTAATTAAATCGTAACTCAATCAGGATCCTACCCCACCCGTCGTACCGTTTCGATTTTACGACGACATTCGAATGGTTTAGGATCTCGCGTACATCCGTGTCGTGTTTGTTGCATAAATGATTCTGACGTATCGGATATTGCACCAGAGGGACCGTTCCATCGGCTCTGCCTTCCTTTCGGCCCCGTCTCCTTTTTACTCCTACACGCGTTCCTTTTTCTCCGGCCTCCTCCGCTCGCGGAGGACCGAGGCTGCTCCGACCGGCCAGGCATTATGCCGGGACGGAATAAAAAGTTCAGTAATTAGTAGTACCTACCGCGGTGTTTTGCAGGTGAACGATGTCCTCGGGAACCTCCTTTCGGAATCGTATTTCTCGCTAAAGACAATTTCCCTCGCGAAAACATTAACAACCGATCGATCCTCGGATCAGGACTTCGTTAATTGTTGCGCTGTTCCGTCTGATTTTTATTTTCTTTGAAGGTTACACGCTGTGAGATCCAAGTCTAATGCCTAAAGTTCGCTTAAAGAGTTTAAATACCGTGTCATATAACAATTTAGACTAGAACACGCATAGCACTCATACGAAGACGCACAGAACAATTGTACAATCAGTCGTTAACGAGCACAGAAGCCACAATTACAAAATACTATAAATTACAATACAAACGCTTCTAGCTATCCTCCTGCTCCACGCATCCAATACTACTTACGAAGCGCTCTGTAAGAGCTGGTTTGGAATCTGAGAACGAGTATCGGTTCAATATTTTATTCTAATTGGACACGGTAATATGTGTTTAAATTCTTTAAGACGCAACGTCACAATTCCTTTGCAAGTAAGAACGTTGCATAAAATCGAGCGGTCGAACTAGGTTGTCATGTGGCCAGAATTTAGGATGACACCCGAATTACCTAATTGGAATTCAGAGCTACCTTCGCGGCTGTCTCGTGGCTAGGCGCGTAATAGCGACTTTCCATCGACGAAGCAATTTAGTCTCGATCGCCGTGCACGATTTCTCCTGGATCAAAGAGTTTCGATCCATTAAGAATCAAGTATGCTGCGCATATTGTGCACATGGGCTGGTCGCGACGTCTTTCAAGGATACGTTCTTGGTCCTCTTTTATTTAACGTTTGTGCGAGCAATTTACACCTTCGCCTTGCTTTTACAAAATGCAACGTTTCTTGCGCTTCAAGGTAGTTTCTGCTCTTTTTTAGTACGGCGGAGTGAGAGGGAGTTGAACGAAAGGGAGAGGAGGCAGAGGAGGACCGAGTGACGTTTTAATTTCGGATGCGTTTTGAAAGTCAAATGCGGACGGACGCTTTATGTCGAGCTGAATGCCGACGGGCGGAATTATGTCATTAGATCCATAATCGCGGTGCGCGGTATAAATTATGTACTCGGGACGCGTCATCGAGATAATACAGAAAAATGGCTTCACCTCGGAAGCCGGTGCCTCGGAGATGAAGACGTTGTCGTGCTCCCCGTCGTTATTGGTGTGGCTTCCAGCCGCAGGAAACCCTTCGTGTGTGTTTTCTCTCTCTTTCTCTTTCTCGTAACGCACATTCGTTAGCATGGATAATGAATCACCGACGCGTCGTCGTGCTCCTGTCGCGAGTACGACGAAGAATTCGCCGGTGGGTCGCCGACGACAACGCGCCGCGTACATAGGAACCCTCCTGTTACGGCCCTGGCCGTTTCGAATACGAATCGAGAATGAGAAAAAGAGGGACGAGTCGGAGCCATTAAAAGCAGCAGGTACCAGCTTGCCACTTGCCTCTCTCTTTCGCGCATTCTTTAGACGAGGTTTCGGCACCGTCCACTCGATGAAATTTTGACTCCGTAATTGTCGTAATGAATCACTGACGATTATTTCCTGCCCCGTGTATCCGCAAAAACGAGGGTTCGTTCGTCATTGCTTGAATAAATTTCTTCCCCAACGTACAAGCTCTCTGCGTCGATGGCTCGTTATCGCTTTTACGAGATAATGCATAATTCGTGCCCCCTCTCCCTAAGATTGATTATTCGTGTAACTTAGGTTACTTAGAAAGTGTGAGAATAAGGTTTGTACGGCGATGTATAGTAATCCCTCGCTAATGTTTGCTGACGTGAACGTTATTGAGGGAGATACTTGGATATTGTCGATTGTTATTTCTGTTAGACTTGATCGTGGGATAAAAGTGAGAAACACCGAGAGAGAGTGAAAATTCTGGATAGAGTTATAACCGGTGCCTGATATTTTCGGTTACCCATCTCTCATGCTCTGCATAATGTGGTCTCGTTCGAAGCAATATCGATGATAGGACCTCCACGAAGACGACTCGTTGCATGGACAGAATCTTTGGCAGTAGCGTCGAAAGCGTCGGCACGCGAGCGTCTTAATTAATGTCGCGGCTGACAGAGACGAAAAGGCAGTATCGGCTTGCACGAATTCCATAACAAATTGCCGTATCGTTGACCATCGCGGCCTCGAAACTGGCGTTCTTTATGTTTATAATAGCAATCGTTTCATCATCCGGATCGCCTTCGGCGAGACGGTTAACCGCTTCGTACATCGGCCAATTAATTACGGCTGGTCTGCATTAATCTCTGCAAATTAGCCGAAATCGTCCAAGAGGCGCGCGTGCGCGATTTATAGCACTCCTCTATTCATCCGGTCGCGCAACAAAAAGAAATCGATTTGTAAAACAAACGCGTATACGTCTTGATCGTATCCAGCCGCGAGTCGGCGCGCAGCCCTCGCGAAGACGTCGTTTAGCATAGGATAATCGCGAAATTGACACAAGGAATTTGCTAATTAATAAAAAAGTGCCAACTTCGATATTCATAGAGCCGCGTATCTATTGATTTCTATGCGTCCGAGTCTTAGATTTGTCAGTTTAACGCGTTAAAATTTCGCTTTTCATTTAAGCGGTGTATAAACATAGAAAATGAACATTTTATTTACTTTAGAAAACCTGGTAAAATTCACACAATGCGAAGTTTATTTGACGTACGTGCGATTTTGTGTCGCTTTTCAGGTGTTTCGAACCACCGTGTGCGGCAGTCCCACGTGCTCTCTGCCACGGAAACGTTAAATCCAGCGCGGCAAAGAGGATTTCCGTGAAATTTCTTAACTGATGCAAACAAGCACATAAAACGATTCGCGATATCATCCGCGAGTCACTTTTATTTGCGTGCGGCGACCCCGGCATACTTCTTCCTGCGCCAGCTTTCACGTGATGAAACACGATCGAGATCGTACGGTTTCGCCGAGAAGCATTTATAATCGCGAATTTCTTTGATAATTTACTGCACGACGCGAATTGCCGGGTGTGTTCTCAGCGTTTTCCGAGGTCATCCTGACTCATTCAAGCGCGTTAACGATCGACCTTTGAGTCTCGTAGATCGTGCGGCAGGATGCTTCCGTGAGTTCTTGCTCCTCGGGCGTGTAGGGATGACGCAGAAACGACTGTATACCGTTTCTACCGACTATGCAGGGCAGGGACATGTACACGTCTTTTTCCAAACCGTGTCGACAACCCTGAAAAAGTCTGACTTTTAGTTAGCTCACGAACAAATCTCACATTTTCATCCGTTCGTGAATAAAACATTCCCAACTGTGGCGAGTAAACAAAAGGATACCGGTAAACATGGGCCCGGAAAGCTGGCCACTTTCGAATCGTATGTTAACACAGATGGTGGTGCTATGGTGTGTCAAGTATAACACGATGGGAACAGAGATAGGAAAGAAAGGAGGAAAGGAGATCGCTTCTTAGATTTATAGGACTTGTTTATAAGACTTTATGGCTAGTGAACTAGTCGCTAAGTCAACCTAGCAGATCCTGTCTTAGGCACTGGGACGTTCGATGTTTTTTTCCCTTGGGTGATTCCGAGCGGTTCCTATGGCACCTGGTGATGGGACACCCTATAACCCGTTTGTTACTTGAGAACTGGTTGCGGCTACTTATTTCATAGTGCTAATAATAGAGCGTGCATTCGAGGGAAAAGGTTAAAAAATCGTCGTACCTTGAAAGGGGAGTCAAAAGTAGGTTAGTAGGTTAATATATTATGGATAGTATATCTTTCTTGTTTGTTGTGACTTCCTGAGTATTATAGATGTCTATTATACATCCAGTTCTCTGTTACCACGCATTAGAATCGCCAGAATAGCGTTTGCATTAAGGATAGTATCAACTTTTGGGTTTCAAGAGATTGGTAAAATAGTGTATTTTGTAAGATTGAATTATTTCAAATCGTCACCTTCAGATACGTCGACACGGTGATGCAGATACACGTGTTCCGCACAATGGCGTCTACAACTTCTGCAGCGCAGATGCCTATGCCCCAACACCGATACCCCTTCCTCTTGATAAGATCGCTGTCGCAGTCGATGACTTTTTTGTGCAGATCGCCCCAAGATTCGGGGTCCGAATTCGCGCCGATGTCCTTGTTGATGTCTTTCAATTTGATCCCCATTACCGTCACCGCGGACCAAATGGGCACTGTCCATCAGATTTTAATTGCACGTTGAAAAATTCGATGTCGAAATATGACAAGAGGGCGTTAATTCGTGTGCTCGTTACCGGATGTCGGCCCATTCTCGCAGATCACAGAAGCTTGCACCGCGCTCGACGAAATTCCAAGCTTCTGCGCGATGAAGTACTGAAGCCTACAGCTGTCCAAAAATGTGCCCAATCCTATCACGCGCTGCGGCGGGAAACCCGAGAGCTTCATGGCAACGTACGACAATATGTCTACTGAAAGGTGACGATTTCGCGTTAGTCGAACGCACGTGCATCGACGTTAAAGGGTGTCGACCGCGTCAAAAATACCTGGCGTAGTTGCGATCAACAGCACGCTGTTCGGCGCGTATTTGCAGACGCTCGGTATGACGACTTTCAAGATTTCCAAATTCCGTTCCAGCAAATTGCCATCTTCTTGCACGTTCGTCGACTTGTCGCCTATCGTGATCACGCATACCGTTGCGTCTCTGGCCAAAGAGTAATCTGAAAAAATAGCTACTCGTGTAGTTTCTGAAGAGAATTCAAAGAATTTTGCTTGTAATGAATTAATCTACTTCTGCAAGAGTTTTTAATAGAGATTTGTGATCACCTTTTGTACCGACGATCTTCGGATTGCTGAGAAACGCCGCCCCGTGGCTGATGTCCTCCGCCTCTGCTTTCGCTAAGTCCTCGTTTAGATCTATGAACACCAGCTCGGAGGCTAGCCGCTACGCAGGCCCGACAACGAGCAACAAAAAGGCAGATTATAAAGGAGTAATTAACGGGAACCGGTCACTAGCCGGGGGCCAGAGTTATTACACACTCGGAATCGTTACGCAATCAAGACCCCCAAGAATCGCATTAAGACTCTACGCGCGCGCGATCGATCGCGCCATTCGAGCGATCCCTTAATGCGAAGGATCGTTAGGATATGATCGTTTCTGTTCGAGCGGGACGAGGTTTTACGTGCCCTTCGCAGGGAAGACCCACTTTGTCGGTGTCCGTCGATCGCGGTCCTGATGGATTCGAAAAAAATTTGAATTTTTCCGATTAATATTTAATTCGCCAATACATTTATCAACAAACGCAAGAAGTAATCCTTTAATAAGTCCCTGAAATACTGACTCATACTTAACGCATAGTCGACTATAATTTAAAAAATCTAATTATGCTATATACCACCGTAAATATAGAAATTTAAATTACATTTAGTAAATGAAATGGGAATGTTATTCCCAGAATTATAAGTCCTGTTCTGTTTCATCGTAATGGTTAGTACGTGTTAATAAATGCTTTTCATCATTTATTCTTATTATTACGGCGCGTCGAAAGAAGGCTGTCGTCTTCTTGAGACTCCCACAGTAAAAACTTAAGGTAGCGTTTTTAAACTCTGCAGGTAGGCGGTTGACGTTTCAAAAACGACCCTTGCAACAATTTCATACATTTGTCCTCAGTTTAAAATCTACAATTCTAGGTCCAACGCCTTGTTTCTGTTCTTGCGTAATTGATGTTCCCAATCCATCATCCGAAACCTGTAATTTTGTGTTGAAACTTTTTAATACTGACACAGATCCCCGGTAGGCTCTCGCGGTAATTTTTCTTAATCACAGTCTAATTCGTCCGGGCGAAGAAATGATAGGGTATCGTTACTCTACGGGCCACGTGGGACGAACACATTTTCGTGGTGCACGCTTTCGCTTCCGCGCCAGCAGATGGACACATTTTTCTCTGACAGATGGTACTTTCACACGTTAAGACAAACCAGCGGCTACCAACAGAAACGGCTTCCTAATATATTACGTTACGCCCTTGTGCCTTCAATCTGTTATTGTACACCGCTTAATCACCATACTTCATCAAGCATGACTTCCGTGGCGTACATAATATCCCAGCTGATGAAGTTTCCTCGCAGCCCTTCGCCTCTTTTTTCTCCGCTGTCCTTCGTAATACCCGTACACGTATCCCGCGACGATATTGAGCGGTAATTAACTCACAAACCTCTTTGTGTACACTTTATAACGAGATTTCTAATGACACGTGACCGACACTGATGCGAAATTTTCAATAGCGTGTCGCGGGTTGCAACGATCGCAATTTGTATTTAATCGAACCGAAATCGAACTACAGTAAAACCTCGATTAACCGACTCAATCGGGAGAAAATGCAGGTGCAACAAACTATCGAGACTCGAAGGTAAATAACTGAAAACGTGTTTTCCATACAAAATGAGCTCTTTTGTTTAAATTGTATTTTATTCTGATAACTTTGCTCTTATAAGTGCTATATCGTATCAACTTTTTACAGTTAATAAATTTTTGTTACGTATCATCGTGTTCTAAACATCGAACAGCATGATTCAACATTGAGGCTAATTTTTTCTTATTGATCCGTGTACTTAATAAAAGCTCATCAACATGTTCAGTGAACGAGATACCGTGACGAAATTAGTTCTGATTGATGGAGTTCTGCTTTAGGAAACACTGGATAGCCGAAACCACGGTGAATCGCGATCCGGTTAATCGAGGTTTTACTGTACTTTAGTTTGCTACATCGTGCAGTCTCCCATGCGTTTCTAGTTACCTAGCCCAACGTTTCACCCTCGGTTACCCTTGTCCTTTCTGCTTCGTAGAGCTACAAGCAATCCGAGGACACCGCGTAACACTCGATCCTACGCACATTTTATTATTCTTCCGGTACATCGTTCTTGTTAGTTTCTAAACACTCGAACCTGTTCGTAAATATTATTTTCCTGATGCTCGGCAGTTACCACGCGCGAAAATAAAATACATACACTACGCGTCAGACACGAACAAAATATTGTCTGATTAAATTTTTCGCGGAACAATTATATGCAATAACACTGTGATTACACATGAATTACGGTATAATCATAATCGTAAATCTTTAAAGCGTGTAATAACTGTTTAACTATCGTGCAATTATCGCGTGATTACAGTGCAATTACAGAGTGATTACATATAATCGCATCTTGGCAACTGTAATAAGATTACATTTTTGCTCGATCTTGTTACGTACTAAGTAAACGCTTGGAAATAAATTGCTCGCGCAGAAAACGATGAATCTAATTAAAAATATTAAACACGTGGATCTGGTTCGCAAATATTACATCTCTGCGAAGATTCTAGTCAAATGAAGAGAAATCCAAATTTTAATATGCTTAATAAAATGGTCGTTTCGTGGGTTTCGCGAGCAAAGTCGCGTGCAAAAGTTGGTTAACGAGTTTTAGTTAAATGAACAATATTGTTTTTAAATTAGATTAGGTAATAGACGTTCCAGCATACTCGACCATTAAACTGGCCGTAGGTATCTGGTGCATTAAAACAAACTGAATAGCTTAAATGAGATTCGGAGCAGGAAGCGATGGTCGGAGGACTCTTCATCGTCAGCACCGACCCGCAAGATGGTTTGTACGATTTAATGCGGTCCGACGGACATGACATGTTACAACGGGTCGAGGAACGACGAGAACAAGAAGAAGATGAACGTCTTATGCAAGTACTACCGAGGAACTTGGGCGTAGTATGGTCCGCAAGGTGGACAGTAAGCCCTGAAGATGGTACTGGAACGCTGGTACCTCGCGATCATCTCGTTGATGCGATCTGCCAAGCCTGGACGAGGAGAGCAACCGTACGGTTCACTACCTCGTCTTCCTTTTCTTTCTCACCTGCTTTTCCTTTTCCCTTTCTCGACTGTCTCCCTCGTTCTTTAACCATCGTGCTCATCTTCACCGACGCGTATTGGAACCGGCGGACACTGGCCATTTCAGTTCACCTTAACGAGTTCGCCGTTTCCGCGGATGGCCTTTGACATCGTCGCGTTCGAATATTCTAAACTCTCGCTCCTTTCGCGGAGAAAATTAACGACCGGTGACCGGTTAAATAACATACGAAATATTTTATTCTCAGCCGGCTACCATTATCCCGTCTTGATGACAGACCGTAACGTTAGTAGGTAATAGTATACACTCGTTAAAAAGTCCCGTACAATGATGGTCAACGAGGTGAGTAACAACCGTCAGATACTTTGCCTCTATAACGATCCTCGGAAACCGAAACCTGAAATTATTCGCCCACGTTCATTACCTCCTACCGGAATGTACCGAGCGGCAACGATTACGTCGCTTTATTGCCCTTCCGTCGACAGTTTACCCTATTTTCCTTCGGCTTTCATTTCCTCCAGCGTCAGCACATGCACGAAACAATTACTCGCGGCTGTATTCGTTCGAATTAGGTGACTCATGCGCCTAACCAGCTGGCTTCGCTCCCGTTGCATCGAAAGTACAAGGTATTGCGTCTCGAGGGGCATTAAGATGAGTTGCGAACTCGTAATAACCGCCCGTTCGTAGGCGGTGGAATTTTTCAATGACCACCCTACCGATTTGCTTGAATCGTTACTTCCGTAACCGGGGAAACGTCCACCGTTCGCACGAAAAAAAAAGAAACGAAGCCCGGATGAGCAAGCGCGATAAGGGCGTCGCGTCCTCGTAGACGGGTATGGATTTCAAGCTTTCCTCCTCGGTGACTAACATAAATCAGCCCCGCGACGATCCTGCAGGGGCGTCCTACGTGTAAATGCTCGCGTTACGATCCGATAACGAGCAGGAGGAAGCACGTTCCTCTTCTACTTCTCTCTCGTCCTGCCCTTTTTCTTCTCTCGTCTTCTCTCTTCCTCGCGTTCCGATCTCTGCCTCTTCCCGTAGCCGAATTCCCTCTTCTGGTCTTTCGTGAATCATTTGCATAATAGCCTTTTTGATCCGGCACACTAACGAGCCCACATTCAACCTTCGTTCCCCGTAAACGTACGTATACGAGCGCACACGTCCAACGACCAGCTGAGTCGGCCCATTCCTCGGACTCCTCACCCTTTGTCGAGCACGACTCGAAGATATCCTTCGAGATCCGCGACCTGGGCCCGACGATCGTTCCCTCGGACAAATACGAATCACGCGCTGCATCGGTGTGTGACTAGTATGCGATCTTCTTAAACTGCCCGAGGTCGCACACGTCGCTTTTCCTACGCGTGTTGTCAACCTTCGACCGCTGATGTTATTTTGTTGAGTGTGCAATATTTAGTTTTATAGTTCAGTTCATTATATTTGTAACATCTTCTAACAGAAGCTTCAAAGGCCACATTCTCTAACGAATTATCCTCTTGTTTCAGTGTAATTTTTTCCAGTTATAATTCTGTCATTAAATTGGCCAAGGTCCTTTTGGCCAATGGCGTAGAATTTTATACTGGCTAGTATTCTCGTCTATTGACAATTTTAAAGCATCTTCGTTTGTTACGAAGTATGGATGAGTTAATTTAGTGTGTTCTATTTATATTCGTGTTATTTTGACCTGGTCATTTCTTTTCGTTACGTAACATTCTTGCAGATACTAGAGAATTTAGTGCTTGGGTCCAGTTATTCAAAAGTCTTCCCTTCATCTTACTGTTCCCTTTTATTTATACAGAGTGCCATCGTATATGGTTATGATTTTGTACAAAATTTAAATTCGTTGATCAAGTGAATCTTTGTAATAGTGAATTCGTACATAAGCAAGAAGGAGGTTAAAAGCAAAAACGTAGAAAGTTTTACAAACCTTGAAAAGTATAGCAATCCCAACAGCGACGCCAGTATAACCACTGCCAACGATAACGATTTTCACGCGATGGCTGTCCGCGAAATCCTCCGACTGTTTCGTCAGTAAAAACGCTGCAGTATTTCCACGATTGTCGATTAACTTCTTCCTCGGCACGGACATAGTCACTGAATCCGATACTCAGGACCGGGGCGTTGCATCCCGAGGATTTGAACGAAATAGAATCTCCTCGGAAGATTTAGTAATTCTCGCGGTACTCTGATAATTTAGCCTACACCATTTCAATCGACGAAAGCAACAGTGAAACATTGACATTGACGTTTGAATTTGAAGTTGTCTACCGACAGAAACGTGTACGAGCGAATACAAGCGATCAAACAAAATTGTTACGGTACAAAGAAGATTGTTAGGCAGGTTTCGATCAAAGTAACGATTGAAACCGCAAAGAGCAATTTTTCTAAACTTTAACCGGAGCAGGTCTTTTAATGTAATAGATTAATTGAAAAAAATTAGTCGATTAATACCCATTTCGAATAGACAAGCTAGAGTGAACAAAGGCGTGGGCGAACGCACGGAAATCGACAGACAGCTGCCGAATTCGTACAGGTGGGATATACGCCATAGTCGAACGCATACGCGAACTTCAATTTCCGCTTTGGCGGTCGCACGAGACCAGTTCCTTTTTTTTTTGTTTTTACAACGAACATTCAGGATCCACTTACTTACGGCACCGGGTCGATCGACGAATACTAAATTGCAACCAATTTAACGTCACCTTCCATATTAACTTCCTTCCTCTACCGTGCTATTATCGGGGCATATTTGAACGCGAAACGTGTAATTACGGAAATTTCTAAACCTAAACCCTCCTCGAATAACAGACTTTACGAAATAATTTAACCAGCTCGATTACGTACCCGTTTACGGCGTTCGGTGTTTGAACAACGTTCGAGGAACGTAACGCGGATAGATTCATCGATGCTTATATCGCACACGACGAAGATCTATAGATCGACGCCACGGAGAACGCATAATACGACGCGAAATAGACAACCAGTCATTCACGGGTCGCGTGGAACGCGATAGTTTCCTAGGAAGTCGATTCCAGTACTGTCATTTATTACGACGATCAAATACGCGTACAGAGAAAACCGGTCGCCAGGTGCGCCGACGTTATTGATGAAGACGCCTTCTAAAACGCTGTTTCCTCTCCCTCTATCTTCCAAGCTCAGACCGCAATTTCCGGTAGTAAGAGCTCTGGAGTCTTCTCGCCACCTCGCCGTCCATCCCAGTCGTCCTCCGCGTTCCTCACTCCTCGGTCTCGTTTTTCGAGTCTTGCAGTACCCCGCACTCGCGCAGTACGGCTCGAATGTTGTTGGCGCACGTCTGCACATCGGCCTTCTCCTTGTCGGTCAGCTTCTGTCTAACAGTGCAATACACACCCTCCCGGCCGATGACACAGGGCACCGACATGTACACGTCCTTGTCCGTCCCGTGGGCGCAACTCTGCGAACACAATACCCTTTCTTCGAGTCGCGTGTAAATCGTTAGGGCCGTTGACGCATCGACGCGTCCTCTCCTCGGAAGCTGCACGCCAAACGAGGCTAAGCGTATCTCGAGAACAGAGCTAAGGAAGTTGCCATCAAACCCGATACTTCTCACATCAATCTATCTCTTTTTCTTTTTTTCTTTTTTTTCTTTGGTCTTTAAAGGCAACTTGGAACGCTTTCAATCCCTTAGATTATTTCTGTCTCCTTCGCGAATCTCACGGATTATTTAGAATTACGTTTGATGTTGTAGTAGATCGTGTTAAGAATATAATTATATGCATTTACGAATGTCTTCTTTTATTGCAATATTAGATGTAAAACTACATAATCTTTAAAATTCGTGATAAAGTCACATATGGGTAACATATGATTTTTCACTAAGGAGCTACAAAAATTAATTTGTAAGATTAGACGTTAAAGAAAACAAATCTAGATAGGACTCTTGAATTCTAACGAGTAAAAATAAGTTATATAACAAATTGTATATGCTATAATAGTAGTTTCCAATCGTTTAAAAACAGAGTTTTGTTTTCGTGGACAACATAAGTGATAGTAGTTATCGTCAAAGTTTAATTAAAATAACTCAACTGGTGAAAACTTACACATTCTCATGATACGTAGAATATTCATCAATAATTGAAATATATTTAAACCTTACTGTGTAAGCAAATCGTGTTTGATCAATTAGACGATCAATTAAAGGACGTAGTTAAATTACCTTTCACTAGAAATTGACAAGGAAAAGTCTATACAAACGTGGAGTAACATCAGGTTGTAATAAATGATTTCATTCGATACTTGGTCGTTTAATGAAACGTTGACGCTTACGTGTATGTGAGTCGAGGCTGGAAGGACGACTTTAGTGTTCCTCACAATAGCGTCGACGATCTCGGACGTACAAAGGGCATGTCCCCAACAATTTAATCCCTTCTTTTTATCGAGCTCTTTACCACTGAAACATGCACGCATCAGAATGAGACAGGAACTTTTCACTTTTCCACGAACGATATATACAATTGTTCTTTATTTTACTCGCAGAGTATCATTAACCTGTTCTTCACGGCCTCGGTAATCTCATACCACTTTTCTGGATCGTCTTGTTCTCCTATTCTGGGGTTTATGTCGCGGAGCTTCATGCCTCCAATGTGAATGCTTGACCATATGGGAACTGGAAACAGTCGCAATTATTATGCTCTATTCACTAAACATCTATTCACATTAGCTACGTATGTCATGGGTCAAAACCAGTTAATATCTTAATTTAGGTCAAATAAAATAATTGGTACCTGAAAAATTTACCACTCATTTACGTAAAATAAAGTGCAATAAGATACCAGACATGTCTCCTTGAGCACCAATTGTCATGCAGCTGACGGAGCTCCGCGCCATATTTAGTCTCCTACTGACGAAATCCTGGAATCTGGCACAATCGATTAATGTGCCGGTTCCGAGGACGCGATTGGTCGGAAATCCTGACAGTTTCCAGGCAATGTAAGACATTATATCCGTCGGCGGGGTCACCACCAGTAGAACGGATTTACAAGCGAACTGTGCTATACTAGGTATGAGCATCTTAAAATTTTTGAAGTTCTGCTTCACGTTCGGAGTTTCGCCAGACGCTGGATCGTCCGTGCTGATTATCACTACTGCTGACTTTTTCACCATGCTGATATCTGTTGCAACGAAAAGTGCAAATTACAGTAAACCTTCATTTACACATCCGTAGGAAAAAATACAAAATACAAAATTAGAATCTATATTATCAAAAGTAAATTATTTGAGAACTTGAGAAACGTTCTGTTCGTAAAATTCCATCACATTCTTGTAAATATTCATGCGGAACGCGATTCTAACGGGAAAGGATGTTCGGAAAAATTGTTAAGAATCAGATATCCCTTTCCGGAAACCTTTCGCTGGTGACATCTTCCTCGATGATGAAGTCATCGGAGGCTGGTGGAATACAAAACACTGGACGGGATCAAATACACCTTTTTCCACCGTTTCGGGGTAAGGAATTCTCTTTTACCGAGAGATGCGCAGATAAGGGCGCGAAGAGTACACAATCCAGCTTGGTCGGTAGAATAAAAAAGCACAGATTTCAGTTAACACCTTTATAGACGCCGTGTAACCATGCATCGCAGCTAAGTTGCGCGCGAGGTACGTTCCCTCGTGGCGGGGAGATGATGTTCGAGATAAATTAGCCGGTAAAAAGTCGAGACTGTTCTACTTGTCCCAGTAATTGCTACCTCGGATGGGCCGAGATTAAAGGGGAACTGTGTGGTGCTGCAGAGGCGCGTGTGTTGCAAAGAACTCAAGATTTTTACATTCCCGAAATGTAAAAACCTGTAGGATATCGAAAAAAGATTGCAACATTAAACGAATAAAATTGTATTGGAAGAAAGCTGTGATCGTTCGAAGTTTGTATATCGATAACTCATAGTAGCCGTAACATTTTTCTATTTCGAAAGCGTCATTTATATCTGTATACTAGTTTAAACACCCATTCATTTAAATACCCACTCGAAAGCGTCACTGCTTGATAGATACCAGCGTAGGGTCCCATCCATCAAGAAGGGAAAAGGACATGACAGTTTGGTTAGGATTATTTTCAACGGAAGCATGTCGAGATCGTAAGATAACGTTAGTGATAGTTTTCGAAATTTGAAAGGTTTTATTGGATTATAAATTATGTTAGGTATTCCTAAGACTATAAAGTATGTATTAGATTACAGTACAAAAAATTAGTTGAAAAGAATAATCTTTTATAATTGTAAATCAAGCAAATCAAAGCTCGTATGTTTATTAGCTGCTGAGATAAAAATGATTCAATTTCGAAAACAATAAATTGATGACATAAACCTATTATATTATCATATGGACTACACATGACTGGCACAAAGTTGCAAACTAAGTTAAATAGGATAAGTGTTTATATGAACTTTCTTAATCGTTTGAACGATCTCTTGAAGAAAGGTGCCACGTGTTATTTTTAAACCCGTAAACGCGAGAAAAGAGGAACCGTGCGATTCGGGGTCTGTCGTCAGGAAACCTGGAAATCGCGCGCGGTTCGAAGCACCGTTTTCGACCGCGAAAGGAACCAACCGGCTTTTGTTCCCGAATTCCCGAGCAAGGTGGTATATTCTTTACAAGCGACCGTTTTACGGGGCCAGCGGCCACGCACGGCCGACAGAGAAAGAGACAAGAAGACGCCGAGAAAGTCGGAGAAACCGAAAAAAATGTATCGTGGAGTCGATCACGGCCGAGATAAATAAGAGTGGCACGAAATTTACGAGCCTGCCCGTGAAAAGCTCGGGGAAACGCTTGCTCGTTGGCCACGTGTAAGCACGCGGCGATGTAGATGAGGACCGAGATTAAAGGACAGGACCAGAAAGATCTCGGAACTCGCTCCTAACCCAAAACTTATTCCCCCTTTCGGGGCTGTGACCGTTGTTTCTGACCCGGTGCACGTTGACAGAGGTCCCCCTGACGAGCAACCCGACGCGACGGCTCGTCTCTTAAAATGGCCGTCGATCGAGCCGAACGATCGCGGCTGATGCTCGCCAGGCTCATCAGTCCGAACGTATCAATCTGAAATTGCTGGAACTCGGCCTGTCGTGGAGTCCGGATTATCGTCCGATCACCGACACGTGGAAAGAATCGTTCAACTGTCTCTGAACGAACGCTTCTGGGTCCTCGATTCTTTGACAGTAAGTGGGCTATGACGATGAAACCGCTTGGGACGTGACTCACCTCCTGTGCATCGTACAAGCTTTTCTCTACCCCTTTTCCGCTCCATCATTTTTACTTTCCCGGTAGTTACAGACTGCGACAAACATCCATTCAAATTTAACGCGTCTGGTTTTTTACATCTTTTGTCGTTTTGCCTTAAATCCAAAAATGCAAAAACTCTATAGGTATAGGTGTGGATTACCATTTTGTTTGCTCGTCTTGAGAAATACAAATTAAGGCACAAACAAAATTTTTTAAAGCATTACTTTACTCCTACCATCACGCTCGCAATTTTCAAAAGTGCAAAGTATGTGTAACACGATTCTCAGTCGTAAGATTAACCTTGATGTGTTAACAACGTAATTTGAAGAGAAGTTGAGACGAACCCGAGCCTCCACATTTTACGTTTATTTCGTCCATACGGGCGAACGTGAGTTAAATAAAGGGTTGATGTAAGGGTATCTTCATAGAGGAGCCAACATATTTATGCACGGGTAGAGCCATCGCCGAACTAACACGAGAAGAGGCAGACCGAGCCAAAGGAATTAAAACCTGAATCTATGAGATGCGCTTTTGGGGGGAAAAAGTGATCGTAAAAATGGCTTGGAGTGAGATATATCGAAGTACCTGACGTGCCAGTTACCAGGGGACTTCCCAAAAAAACACCGACGTGCTGAATGTCTTCGGCCTCGGCGGAAGCCTTGTTCGCGTCGTGGTCGATCAGGCAGACCTCGCTCGCCAACCTCTAAAGATCACGGAGAATCAAACGGTTGATCGAGCGTTGCGATCTGCACGCCTCGTTCCGCGGCTATACTTACTCTCATCAGGATCGCGATGGCGCAAGCTATTCCAACCTTTCCTATGCCCACGATCGAGACTTTGACGCGATGGGGATAGACGTCGCAGTGGCCCAGCTGGGTCGTTATCAAGGCGTTCTTCGTGGTGGTCGTGATCGGGACTTTGTCGTCCTGCAATGTACAGAGCCCTTGTCAACCAACGTACGCGAGGCAATAGTCCTTGATTACCCTGCGACAGGGATTGTAACCATAACTCAAACCTGACTCGATCCTCAACGTTATACAATAATTGCTGTTCAGCTTTCAACCGTCAAATTTAATGAAACTTCCTCCGGGCACGATTAATTATATTTCTGATACACATTGTTAAATTTAATTTGAAGTAACTGGGTTAAGAAGCTTATGTCAATTTTCCTGAGCATACCAACATTATACTAATTTTCTAGCAAATCGAAAACATATTTCGTTCAAAAAATTATTTTTGCAAGCAACAAAATATCCTATCGAAAGTTAACTCGGTGCAAACGATGCACTACTGCTCCACCATGCTCCAGGCGTTAACTCGAGTGTCCTTTCGAGTTAAACAGCGGTTGCAATCCCTGTTGCACGTGTTCCCATCGTAGAATAAAAAGAAACGAAAAGGAAACGTGTCACGAATATTTACATCGTCGCACGGGTCGGAGTCGGCGTCGGTGTCGTTCTTTATCGGCGTAACCTCCGGCTGGTCCATTCTCGGAGACCCGGAATCGTAAGTTCGTTAACTCCGTGGTTTCAGCGGGGGCAATTCGATCGTCGAATTTAAGTCTCGCGCGAACCTTTTAGGGCGCTAATTGGGTGCGCGAGTTGAGACGTTCCACTCCCCCTGGCTTCAAATTCTCCCGGTGCGCCCCTTCCAACGCGTTTATTGACTCGACCAGGCCCAGCAGTCAAGGTGGTCGCTGTTCCTTAGACGTTCACCTGAAACGAGCGGCAGGTAGAAGGTTGCTGTCCGGTCTTATGCAGATCCGGATCGACCTACGCAACAACAGCGATGCTTCGAAGGGAGCCAGGTATTTCAGGCTAATCGCGCTCTCCGTTACGAGAAACGGAGAAGTGCCGCGGAGAGAAGACAACGCGCGGGAAATTCTACGAGAGGAGAATAACGACGGAAGTTATCCGCGTGGTTCGTTGTAAATTAGCCGCAGGTAGTCGCCCCGGGAGCGCAGGTACATCGCGGCCGGGATTGTTCATATATTTCTGAACCCTCGACGAATCGAGTGTGTAAAATACATTTATTTCCGCACGTCGATAGCGGGACCACTAGTTGGTTTATTTTTGTGGGCGATAGATTTGTCAAATTAAATTGTAAACCGTATACAATTTTTCGCGAAGATAGTGCACCCAAACTTTGCACTGTGCTTTGCAAGAGAATAATTTCTTCCGTTCAAGCAGCCACAGTAATTAATCTTTCCACGTAAAAATAGAGTTCTTCTCGGACGACTTTCAATGGCGTTTGAAAACGACTTCGGTTCAGTCAGGTTATTCAATTTCCAGTTCAATTATATACTCTCGACCATAACTCGTTGGACACAATAAACATGCATATTAACAATGTTAAATTTCTTTTTATCAACGTATATATCTAATTCTATCACTATTAGAAATTGTTCGAGTTATCCAAAGAGTAATACGATAATTTCCTGCCTAATTCTACGAGTTCGTTTATGCAAACGACGAATTTGCATCCCGTGCTGACCCAATTCCCTCGCAGAGGAGTGCAGCAAACCCTCGTAGCGAGACTTCTTCATTTGTTCTGAACCCCTTACGATAAATTAGGCCTGTCGGTTTGCGTGGCGAGGCGTTCCCAGTAGTTCGGTTATCGCGGTAGCTTAAAACACATTTAAAAGAGGTCCTTTCTTTTCGCGCGTGGTCCTCGCGTGAGCGCCACTCGTTGCTCCCAGACACATTCAATTTTAACGTTAATAATTGCCGGGAAAAATGGCTGGCTTAAATGCGGCCATTAATCAGCGCCGATCGATATTGCGAATACGGCTTAACGACGGAGAGATAACATCGGCCGTCCCGGGCCAGAGTTATTGAATCGCGTCAAATAATATACGAGCCAATAATGTATGAATAGTCCTGCAATTATGGCTCGCCGATCGTATCTAAGGGCGCGTTGTAATTTAGTAATCGTTCATTCTCGCCGCGCGGGCGGGGAACCGCACGAATGTCGGAGGGTCTGCTATCGCGTGCATGCGATTTCTTTCATCAACCGTCACGATTTGTCCACCCGCAACTTCCGATCCACCGTTTTCATTCGCGAGATCCATGCGTAGAAACTGGAGATCGAGAGGTTCTCTGTTTTAGTTACTTCATGAAGTTTTTCTTCTTTGTTCCTTTCAATTTGTACATTCTGTTTACATTAATTTTAGACCATGAATCACGAGCTTTGTTAAACCAGAGATGGATCATGAATTTACAAATCAAAATGTCATTTTTGATTGTGTAATATAATAACTTTAAGGACACTTTATCCGGTTTTTTTGCCCTTTGCCCTCTGCGAGAGACACGTATTCTTCACAGATAGGAAGTACACGCGATGAGTTTTCCAATCGGTTAATACGTCTAGCTTTTTACTGACCCGATGATACTTATCATCATTCATAATACTGGTTGAAATCGGTATCTATGAATTAAACGATTCCTCAGCAAGCGGCTCCGTAGCATCGCCGTGGCGAGGAAGTAATTTAAACTCCGACGTTTATAGCGAAGCACAGGCAAGTGGGAACGAAACGACGCGCTTCTAGATAATTAATTTCCCGTTTTAATTAATCATCGCCGCGATTTTATCGACCGCCCGGGTCAAGTAACAATACCGATCGCGTAAAGTCGGCCCTTTATCTGTTATCGCGCTGTTACGAGTACGCTAGGCCACGATTTACCATCGCGATCTGCCAATTAACCAAACGCCAATTATTGCGGGGGTTGCAATAAATTAAGAATTCGAATTTTCGTTTATTATTTTGTCGTGGTATTGGCTGCGTCTTAAGTCATGAAATTAACAACTGCACGTTTCAATTTCGAAGCAAACCGGTTGACTCGTAAAGCAGAATCAAGTCAGAAGTTGAATTCGTGTCGTATTAACAGCCTATGGTCAGGATGGAGTTAATTGGTTCCTTTGCTATCTCTATTATCCCAGTATGTAATTATCCTCTACTGTTACGATATTCTATCTCAAATTTGTTGGTATTTGTATCTTCCACACAGATAAACCAGTGATATCGATCCTTGTGAAGATTGGTTAGGAAATTTTACAAGAATTCGTGCATGTTTTTAAAACTAATATTTCTTTACATATGACATAAAACTCATGAAATGTTATCAAGTATGGGGTGGTTATATAATTTTGTTCGAAAGCTAAAAAAATTTGGTTTGGCTGATCTTAAAACGCCGAAATTTTCCCAATTTAACCCCTCTGAACGCGTGGTATCGGGCTTGTTCGAGCAATTTTGAGAAAATGATTATCGACAAGTTGACGATCAACCGCTAACGAGGTGATCCCGATCCGCTTAGCACGTGACTGGAATCGAGTTTACCCCCTTTCCGGCTTGCATATCGCGCGTTAACGCCCAATTTAAATTACTCGATAATGAAGTTCTCGTTCGCCACCGCCATCCGTGTATTGACCGAGTAATAAAAAGAGCGACGATAGTACAACGATATTGCTACCGGCGCAGGAATGTATGATTAATTGGGGCCGAAATAGCCCTCGGTCGCGAATGCTTTTTTAATTAACCGCGGTCTCGGACCGTGACAGCGGGAGAGTCCGAATTGTCCCGCGATAAAGGCGCGATTGGTCGATAACGATGTCTCTCGAGAGGCAAGATTCAGCTGAGCGAACGGTGCAAACGAGTCTCCACGCTCACCGCGGAGATAGTCCTTGAAGGTTGGTCGTAAGCAACCGATCTTCTGGTACCAGGCCCAGTCAACCGATCCAGACACCGGCTCGCGCATGCCTCCGGTGCACAATGGTTGGTAGTACTGCAGCTGATACAAGTATGTTCGCCGTGCAACTGGAATTTTAATTGGCTATTTGTTTGTCCGCTACACTTCGCGGCGCTGCTATTGTCCAGCTTGCCGGAGAGGAACGATCACCGTACTTCCCCTACCGAGTCTCCCGAGTTCCTCCGCTTCATTTTCACTGGCACGGTATTAATCCGCCATTGAGAAAAGTTTTCTCTTCGACGGGGAATCGTGGCCTCGTCTGACCAGGGAAGAACTCAAGCTTCTTCCGATTTTGATCTTCTTCGCAAACAGAATATACGGGATGTTTTGGGGGGCAATAGCACAATTCGAAAGGAGGTGATTCTACGTGGGGGGAAGAGAGTAGAAAATGTATAGACTTCTTCATTTTCAAATAAATCGATGTTGATGACTCTGATATAGTGTAGTTTTGATTATATTAATTTGAGAATAAAAAGGAAGTGCCAAAAGGGTGTGTCGCCTAAGATTTGGAGTAGAAATATTTTTGAAACTGGAAAGGTCACAGCACGTCACAAAAATTGGAGGTTTCCCGTTGGCTGGTAGCGCCCGGAGTGCGTTTCGATTCTGGGATGGCCCCTTTGGTACCGATCGAAGATCGAGACTCGATGAAATTGCAGTTATTACCCAGGAACTGTACCAAGGCCTGCATGTATAATCCTCCGGTCGGAATCCTCCGGTACTCTCGGCGGTACCACTTATCGACTCATTAAGTATTATACGGTGTAATTGCGCCGTTTTTACCCGCGGTTCCTACTGCAAGCGACATTAATCATCGATACGATCTTCTTTCGACGCCATCGTTGCGAATGTCTCAATTCGCCCCGTCCGAAGAGAAAGATCGCGCGCGCGTACGTCGGTCCACCTCTCGGATTTATCTTCGTCGAATCTAATTTCGTGAGTCGGGCGCGGCTACGAATTTAATTCACCGCGCGTTGGGCTCTCCCGATTCTCTTCGGTAACGCGGCCTAATAAATTAGGAAGCGACAGGGCCCCCGCGATTCGCTTTAATCGCCGGCGCAAGAACCGACGCGCGGACCAGTTGTCCAGAATCCCGCGGACTGCCCGAAGCGGGGCAAGGAACGCCGCCCCGATCTCGACCAGCTTGGAAGTCGGTGGTTTTTGCACGCTCCGCGGAACTTATTCCAATTAAAATCGTACCTCTATTTTAGGTCAGACTCCGGTCCGGGTTCAAATTAATCGGCGGGACCCGAGCGTACACCGGCCGCTCGGACCCGCAACGATTTCCTAAATAAGCAACGACACGCAAAGCTTGCTGCTTACGTAAGCGTTTCTTGATCGCGACAGATCGTTTTTTCACTACCTTTTTCACCTCGCGTCGCTTGGGTCAGACACTCGTTACATAAGTGAGAGAGTGGACAATAGCTGGAATGTTCATTGTCGGTTAACTATACGATAAGACGGGGCTGACACTTTCTACTGTCTTCTTATGGAAAAGATTCCTGCAACTACACCTCTTCGCTTTGAATGATCGTCTGGATTTTGTCCAAAATGAACATTAAGAGTGGACAGTGAAGAATGTAGAGCCTCGATTTGGATGAAACGAACGGAGCAATAGACAAGCTTGCAAAACTATCAAATGACAATAGAAGCATCCAGTATTGCGACCCAGAGGACAGGGTAATTGACTACTTTTTAATTTATTCAAACACAAAGAATTAAATAACTCAATGAAAAAATAGACTT